TGTAATCTGTGCTTACAAACACTTATAAATAGCTGCAAGCAATGAAGGGTGAAATGTCTGTGAAATGTCCTCATACACCATCTTTATTTGAGGGGTAGTGTATTGTCATGCCCAACTAGGACTATGGTTCTACATATCCACTGTAGGCCATAGCCTAGGATATTAGGGTTTACAGGGATGGGAGATAGCAATTCCCATATATAACAAACAGAATGCCACCCTACATACCAGGGAAATCGGACAGGGTTGTTGCCCTTTGTTGCTCCACCTGCTATGCTTTTGCATAATTGTTAGTGAAAAAGCATGTGTACAATGTCAAACTTTCAATTGTCCATTCAAGAAAGTCTTCTTTTCTGTTTACCTTGTTAATCTCCTCAGCTGGATAATAATATCGTAGTTTTTTGACCTGCAGGTATTCCTGTACATTTTTTATGATTGCATGTTTTAGGCATTGACCCAAAAAGTAATTAACAATGTTTTTATGCTCTGTAGTTATGAAACTCCCTGCCCGAGAGTCAAATCTCTGTGTGTGACTAGGTTTTGCTATTTAGAACATCATTAAACTGTGCCAATCATTTCAGATGTTGTTTAAAATATCTTTTTTTGAAGATTATTTATTTTCAATCAAGTCTTCATCTATAAGCTTGTCTTGTTATGCATTTATACGGAGCGGCATTTCCTCAATAATAACTTTTGACTGCTCAACCGGACTCCAAAGTTATCGCCAAAGCAATAACTTTGGAGGCCATACCCAGACCCTGTTGGGCTGGATGCTTACAGTGTTTGCCTTGAATGTGACCTTCGGACACTGGGCTCTGCTTATAGCACTTTCAAGACCTCAGCATACAGTTCTAGTTAGCTGCAGAGTGCTTTTCAGGTCCATAGCCTTTGCACAGCCTCTGGGGTGACCCAGCCTCTGAACACTCTCTAATCATGGCCTTTTGAACCCCTCCTGTTTCCATCAGTTGGTTCATAAGTATTCACGGTTTTAGCTTGCATTAAACACATCTCTGCTTGCAGCACAAAATGTTGGCTCCCAAACACAAGAGGAGAAGCCCTGCTGTGCCAGGTGCCTCTGGTTCAGGAACCATGAGCAGTTCAGGAGCGGCCTGCTGTGTTCCCTCCCAAGGGTATAACACTGATAGCCTGAAACGTTATCCCTTGCTTGAGTCTTTACATTCCTCAGCGTTCTCCTTGGTTCCATCAGGAACTCTAGCCTCATTAAAAGCTGGCCTTTGAACTTATAAGGGATGTTCCACTCCCGCTCTCAAGGTTGCTTTCTTTGTCACCATCACCTCCGTGAGGTATGTGTCTGAATTGGCAGCTTTGTTCTGTAAAGAACCTTTTATGGTCTTACAAGAAAGAATACAAGGTGATATTAAGGCTTAGAGCCTCCTTCCTTTTGGACTTTGTGCTTGTGTCCCTTTGTCAAACCCTAATACATCAGGAGGTTTGACAAAGGGACCTCACAGCAACTGCTTCCATTAGAAAGACTCTTTGTTATCCCTAATGGTCCCTGCAAAGGGGAACCCACTTCTCATTCCACCATTTTTAGGTGGCTTAGACAAAACATCATTTAAGCATATGGTCTTAGAATCAGGTTCCACCCTTCCTGTTAAGGCATAATTTACCAGGTCTGTAAGCGCTTCTTTGGCTTTTCAGCATCAGGAAACTGTTTCCCAGATTTGCAAAACTGCCACCTTGTCTTCTGTTCACAGGTTTTACCAGGTGGATGTTCAAGGCTCATCTGATACTAGCTTTGTGTAAAGCCTTTATGGCAGCTCATTGAGCAGGCATTCCCTATTTTGTTTTCCCTGTTATTATAGCCTGTTATTATAGGCCTGTGAGTGTTTTGTTTTCTTTGTTGCTCACCCCTCAGTTGGACTGATTTTCAATGTTCCTAATTGTCTCTGAATCCTGTTCCTTAGTGGAGGAGGAGGAAAATAGTTTTTTTGTACACCATAAAATCCCTTCTTGGAAGTTCATTGAGGGACACCTGTCCCACTCCTCTACTTGTTACAAGACTGGGACATGCCAAGGAAAGGGAAGACGTCGCATGGGTCATACCAGGCGAGTCGCAGGTTTTTTTTATTTTCCAGTGTCCAGATATTCTTCCACTTCCAAGAAAAGGATTTTACTGTGGGTACAACAATCCATTTTTTTTTACAAACTTGATTATCCTGAGAATCTGCAGAACTCTTTTTTGTGTGTGCCTATCAGCTGGTCAGACTCAGGTTAACTGCAATATTTGTGTTGGTCGATAGACATTGTAGAGTTATTTTTAAAAGGCATTTGACTTGTATACTTCCGTGCTGAGACAGGTCTAAAAGAACAGCCAGTGTTTGCCCTGCTTTTATTACACAGTAACCACACATATGTTAAACAAAGCTAAAGAGTTTAATGCTACCGAAACCAAACTTTTATTGTACAACAAGACAGTGGCTTTGTGTAGAGTTTTGGCTATCTCTTTTGTCTTTAATGCATTGCTATAAAAGGGCATTCTAGAAGATATAAGGGATAAGGAACTCAACGTATTCTTTTTAATTGCTGTGAGAGCAGATTTGCCCTTTATGTATGTATAATATGTGGTATAATTTAAAGCAATCTAATTATGTGAGAATGATATGAGCTGAACATTAATGTGTTTTATGCCTAGGGGTCATGGAGTTAGAAAAGTTTTTATACTACTACAGTATACGCTTTCTGAAATTCTCACAATGTATCTGTTTTCTTGTGGTGAAAAAACAGATATTTTGAAGGACACATTGTCAGACACCCCTATAAACTTTCCAAGAGATTCAGTAATAGCCATTGAATACACGGATTAAAGGGATTTATAATCAGCAGTTATCTACTGAACTTTATGTGCTTGCAGTTAATGACAATGATTTGTGATTATGTACATAAATGCATTCAAAGGTAATCTTCACCTACGACGTTTGTAAAAGGAAAATGCAAGGCAAAACACAAAAATCAGTTATAAATATAAAAATTAAAAGTAATTGTTCTGTGCCTTCATTTGTAAGTCATGGAAAGCCTGCCCAAATCGAGTTGTTGATCAAAATGATAACTAAATATATAAGCAGAACTACTCAGACTCCTTTGAGATGATGAGGGAGGAGCCAGGCTGTTATCCAGTGTCTATTGCTATGAGAAAAGGAGAAAGAAAATAGCGGTAACTCTAGTAGAAAAGAGTGTGAAACAGGTTGGTAATAAAGGATGTTTGTAATGATAAAGTTAAGTAGGGAAATCACAACCCTCTCACACGTACACACACACACACACAACATAGACGTGCAACAGTGTGCACCATATTGTGGTGTACATTGTGCACATGCGCTGTGCTGCATTGTTAGAACACATCACAGTGCTTGATGCATTGCCATGGGTTGTAATATACTGTGTTGCGACTAACTGCATTGCATGCCTGTATCATTTTATCACAACACACACTAAGCTCACAAACGGCACTGCAGATCAGGCATTACCACAACAGATATATAGCATAAGTTGTTTAGTTACAGTTTTGCGTTCCTCCATATTTTTACCATTTCACAAAAAGGTGCAATTTAAAATGTACAAATATTTGTTATTTATGAGCTCAGTGTAGTTTTATCTTTTAGATTTAGTTGGAACCTTGTAAATTATGGGGGGTTTTTTGTGCGCTAATACACATTTTAGTTTGTTTTTATCTATTTAATTGTCTATTTTTATCGGTTTACCTGGACCTGCAAAATTAGTAACAACATCTTTTTATTCTACCAGTCTTGTTTTCAGGAAATGTATGGTTTGGGGGGGTCTTTTACAAACTCTAAAAGCAGCAGTTGAAAATGCGAAAGGGTTAACTATATTTATTACATTGTAAATCCATGGCTAAAATACCACATTGGGGGGCATCTTAACGTTTGAAGGACCCAGTATTTTTTATACTGGGCCAGTTGCAGAATGTCTGTGTTTGTTACTTGTTCCTTTGAAATTACCTTGATGTGTAATGTCCATATAAAATTGTTTTGTAGTATGATACTTACCTATTGGCTGAGAGGACACAGTAGAGTCCTGAAGCCTTGGACATTAGCAAGGTCAGGGTTCTTTTTTTTTTAAATTAAAATTATTTTTTCTTCAGTATCTTATCATCAGTATCATTTATTTGCTGTAGAAACCAAGGTTTGAGTCCATAACACTGTCCACTAGTGCGTTCCTGCATGGTTAGCTGGTGGAATGCACTGGATCGCATACTGTCTGGCTCCCTGCATTCTGGGGCAGGAGGGGATGTGGCGGTGCATTCACGTCAATGGCACCACGACACTGAATGCACCAATGCAGAGAAGTATAGCTCAGGGCTAGAATGGTATCAGTGGACAGTGTTATGGACTCAAACCTTGGTTTCTACAGCAAATAAATGATACTGATGATAAGATACTGAAGAAAAAATAATTTTAATTTAAAAAAAAAGAACCCCGACCTATAATATATAATACATGGGTTTAATAACATATTGAGCTTAAAAATATAACATACATGAACGTAAATTAGAAGATAAACTGTACCTGTATGTATGTTTTTATTTATGAGTATGCTAAAAGATATATATTTTTGTATGCTAAATTGTTTCATGACCCACTGATCATATTTGTAAAGAGGTGTTTAATTTGTTTTGATGGATCTGATACCTTTTATCTATTTGATACAATCTGGCTACAATGTATCAGTGGTATAAGAGTAAACTATGTTTTAGTAAATTATTTTCTGAATGGTGCTAATAAGCTACAAGTGTATTGACTAATTTGTGTAAACTCATTGTTGAGTAAAACACGTTAGAAGGTGGAGGTTCAGGGGATTGCTTTTACACTGGATGGATCCTTTTTAGCTTTGATTGATTAGATCACAGTTGGGGTTTATTTACTGGGCACTTTTAAAATGTGTTGTGTATCCTTATCATCAGTCTGTGTCTGTATCAAATGCAAATAATATATTTTACTTTTTTTTCCCTCTTTTTAAAGGAGAAAAACCGTACATGTGTACTTGGGAAGGGTGCACCTGGAAGTTTGCACGCTCTGATGAACTAACACGGCATTACCGCAAACATACAGGAGTGAAGCCATTTAAATGTGCAGACTGTGACCGCAGCTTTTCCCGCTCAGATCACTTAGCGTTACACCGTCGGAGGCACATGCTGGTCTGAGTTGACCAACCATCCAGGCAGTTAGAAAAGCTGGCTCTTTTTTTGCTATATGTGTTCAGCGGGTCTGAACTCCACCCACAGTGTTAGATAAGCAAGAAAATTACATGAGATCCAAAGTGAAGGAATTTAACAAGAAGCTTCTTGAGTTGCTGAAGAGTCCATTTAAAACTTGGGTTATCCAGTCCATGTCCATACCTCGGATCTGAAGACTTTCACATGGAGGATGAAGGCACTTTTTATTGGCCTCAACCAGAATCATTTTAAATAGGTCCTATTGTATATCTCTCTCCCACTGGGACTGTTTGTTTTGCAAAAGTTGCTTCTAATTTTCAAAGAAAATGTATCATAGATTGTTTTCAAAATCTTTGAAAAAAATTGACTGATTCATTGACTGATTCTAATTTTCTTTTCTGCTGGAAATTTTTTAAGTAACAGTGAAATAATGAAAATAACAGATTTGTGTACGAGTAACTACAGGTACATGTATAGGAAAAACTGACATCATAAACTGTCCATGAACAGAACCTGGGATTCTTGCAATAACCACAGTGGTCATGACATTGCTCATAATTTCCATCAAGAGGCGCAGGCTTACAAATATCATACTCCTTCTTTCAGCATTCTAAATTTTTGTTTTCTCTTTCTTGGTTGTTTGTGAAATTATATAGGCCGGTATATTAAGTGAAGTACTGTTTGTGTTTGTGAATTGACTTGGCCTTGCCTAAAGCCTTCTTATATTTCCCCCTTTTTTTGTGGATCACAAATCCAAAACTATTGTACAGGCTCTCAGTATTCCTTTTCCACACCCTAATGTAATACTTTTTTAAGTATTATGTACATACTGGTCAGTAATGGATTTTTGGGCCCCTGCTTAGGGATTATGGGGCAATAAGATAGCACAAACTGGAACGGTTGCACTTCTTGCTGCTAAAGAGCAATAATGACTGTATTATATGGTTTTACTATAGATCAAGTGTTTAAACTGCGTTTTTTACCACGTCACAGGAGGCCTTTGTCAAAGTATATTATATTTCAAAACCCTACAATGTGTCAAGTGTAAAGGCTGCACAAGGTAAAAGATAACAAAGAACAAATACATAGTAATAACGAAATAATGTGAATACTTACGTTGGGAGAACATACCCTTTCCGAGTCTGTTTTCTAGAGACAGAGTATATGAAATTTAGCATATCTTAAAGTAGTTTTACATATCTCAAGTTTCCTATTTATGCATAAGGGAACATTCACAAGCTTTATACTGTGAAGCAATGTGCAGTGTCCCAGAGTAGAACTTTGAGGTTATGTTCCCTAAGATAAATTTGCTTCTATTTCCTGCAACCACAAATAGTAAGTGTCTGAAGGGTAAGGCACAATGCTCTATACGTCTGGTCAAGAACTGCTTGTAACACTGAGAATGCTGATGGATTGGCCTTCTGCTAATTTATGCATAATTAAAGTACAAATATAATTAAGTTATGCATAAATGACCAGCAATCAGGGCCAGCAGCTGCTTAACAGTACAGGTACTGTCTGAGCTAATGCAGGAAGCATATAGGCAGTAGTAGTTGGGGAAATTTCACACAAATCAAATTTTCCCCAGGCTCCTAATGTATGGCTAGACTGCTATGGCAGTTGTTCCTCTATTGACTGAATGTTTTACTGCCTCTTAGCCTCTCCTGTTGCTACCAGTATCTGCACTAGTTTTGTACAAAAATCAAGCAATACAAGATTTAAGCACATTGATTGATTGATACTTATGAAAAATACCAGTGTTAATTAAAATGCTTGAAAATTTAACATATTAATAATTATTTTGTAGTATTAACATAGTATTACACCATAAAACAAATTGCTTGGCAATGATTCTGTTTGATTTTTTTCAAGCAGTATGACAATTATATTATTGCCCTGGCATAGATTATCTGACTGTATTAGTGAATACCAAGCAATGGGACAAGCTGCCAGTTAAGGCTGTCTTAAAGCTTTACTATGTGTGTCCTATATGCTTGGCTTGCAGTGGATGCAGTCACCTCAACCTGCAAACAGGTGTGCTTACTCAATCCCCGTGACATAGTACACATAAGTACGTCTAAATGCCATGTAATATACAAAGAGGCTCATGAATGAATCTATAGAGCATGGAGCCTCCCAGATTCACCCGAGTCCTGCATTATTTATAGAGAAGATTTCTGTTGTCACATTTATTCATGCCACCAAGGATCATAGCTGCCTAAGCAACCCTAAAGCTCATTGAAATAATTAAGGTCTGCAAATAATAACTTTTCATTCAGCAATTACTGTATATGTTTGAAAATTTGACTTTCTAGAACTGTATAAGGTACTTGTTTTATTGTGTTAATATCTGTTTGGGGTAAGTATTATGTTGCTTGTGTAAAGTGAATATGAACTGAACTGAGATTGTGTGTTTTGTATAATGCCTCCTTAGTGATATCAACAGTAGGTTCCAACATCTAAAAATTCATCTTGTAAAGAAACAATAACAGAAAGCACAAAATGAGGAGAAATCAGTGGGTGAAACTGGTTTTCTCCAAATACATTATACAAAATCTAAATATAGAATTTTAAATGTAGGATATTTGGAAGTATGCTCTTCCTCAGAGGAAAGCTGGCATACACATTGCAGTCTAATTGTACAAACTCTGTTAACTGTCTGGTTCGAAGGTCTACCTAATGATCTATTTAAGTTATATCCAATCAGGTAGGTTCACACTTTATAGCTGATGGTAAATTTAAAGGAATTTGTACAGTAGAACTTCAATATGTGTGGCCAAACCATTAAAGCCCTTTTATAGACCAGGTCACATCAGTGTTGTGTGTGGTGGGTATTTGGCATATGGAAATGACAAGTTCAAGACATAGGGGTTGATTGACTATAGATGTAAAAACTGTTCATTTAGCAAAGTGAATGTTCACCGACCTTAGTGAATAAGGTAAAGCTGTGTTCGTGTTCAATACCCAATTATGCACAAGAAAAAAAAAAACAGTTGCAAATGTTTTGGTTATGGTTGTGTAATTAGCTTCACTTTGGAAAATGAACGTTCTTTACTCCTTTAGTCGATCAACCTTACTGTGTAGAGTACAAAAGCTTATAGTACAATATTTCAATGCTGTAATGGATTTCCTGTCAGGACTGTTAAAAATGAGATAGGTGACCAGGAAACAATTTTTCTGTTTTGCACTTAGCTTGACAGCGGAAATCTTTTTTTGGAACTACTGTCCTACTCTCTACTATCAGCCCTAGGCAACAGAATCTAGAAAACCACATTTAGAAGACACCATCTTGCCAGAACCAGTATTTAGAAAACTCTGGTTTAGTTAATATCCCTCCTACCTACACTGTGCTCAGCTGTTGGTAACCTAGTACACTGGTTAGGGCGTGTTGCATTATGAGACTTACGGTAGTAGTTGTAGTAAAACCGAGCAATGGTACACCTGTTGTGTGCCTGTGTACATTCAGTTTGCTAAATATATTCAATCTCTTAGACCATGTTAACATTTTGCTGGCAAAAATGTGAAACATCAAAAATTCCAGTATGCACAAGACCAAATAAATTTCTTGTAATCTGACTGGTTCTTTGCAGTGAGCACAGATTCACTAAGCTGGTTTACATTAGAATTTAGATATTCTACTTTCCTGTGGAGCACTGCTGTTACATTCCCCTAGCAATGTTCTTGCTCTCATCGCTCCTGTGTTGTAGATTACAGTGTTTTGAGAGATTCTCCACTTCAGAGTGACTACAAAGGAAAAAATGGTATCCTTTACATTTGCCATTAAATAAACATGGTGTTTACTAAATGTTACATAGGTACTACTTATCCTTCTCAAGTAAATAGCTGATTTAAGCAAAAACTTGTATCCTTTTTATTTCTAAGGTATGGGTAAAATACATTAGTATTATAGATTTTCAGAGTGGTACCATTGCTTTGGTCAATTAAACAAAGATTTACTGCTTTCTTGTTTTATTATTCTCAAACTAGCATCCTCCATAGACTACATCATTAGCTTTGCAAAGGTTTTTTTCCATCTTAAATTGGAACTCTGGTCAAAAAGTGGGGAGGGTTAGAATTTCTGTTTTTATTGCTGTTACTTACTGTCACAGGGAAAGGAGTTGTTAAGAAATAACCCCAACGTGGATACCGACCGAAATAAAACACTGCAGAAGTTCTAACCATTCCCCTTCTAACCTAAACAAAAGTTTTAGGCGGTGTTCTACGTTATACTTAATAGCTATTCTCACCTTATACATATCAGAATAATACTATGTACAAAAACTAATTGACAGATTCTACAAGAAATTATAGGAAAAATTGTATGGTACATTTGTGAATTGTGAGATGATTTTATACTGTTTATTTTATTGCAGGTATACATTTGTATAAGACTAAAAGCTGTATATGATTTAATTAAAAACTTCCAGTGTTGCATTCATATTACTGAAAAGAAAATTTGCATGGGGAAGCCTGTGGCATTATCCACTAATTTGTATTGAAGGGAAGGGTAATTATCAAGTCCCAAAGATCTCACAGCGAAATACAAATGATAATGAATATGAGATAGATCCTGGATCAATCCCATGTATTTGATGCTTGAAGGAAAGGTTTTAGCATGCCGATAAATAGGTATAAGTGCTTTATTATTATAGTAGGGTCCTGCTCTTAGATCTATGGAATATCTACAGAGGTGTTTTTAGAGGAGCTGTGTTTTTTTGCCACAGCCTCAACATAGATCAGTCAGGTACATTTACTTAGGGTTTTTAAAAACCGTATGGGCAGCACAAGTTCCATAAACAAAGAGATGAGATACAGATACACAGAACGTTTCTGTATACCCTATGCTGCTGCTGAGCTAAGTAAAAATGGTATCCTTGCTTGGCTGGAAATTAAGTCAGATGGCCTCCTCTTTTTACCATAGAACTCATGGCACTGTTATAGCCATACCTAGACAATCCCTCTAAGAAGCATACATTTAGCCATGAAGTGTAGTGTTAAGAAATCCACTTACATTTTATAAATTAATATATCAACACACAAAGGTTTTGATATATAAATATGAACTTGCAAACATTAGGAATTAAAGAAAAAACCTTCAGGACAAAGGCAAATTGAATTTTGGAAACCATCCAAATTTTAATCCCCATGTGCTTGTGAAAGAAGCATGTTGACCAGAACGTCTGGACCGAGTTCCAGCCCACACAGGACAACTCCCAGGGAAAATGAAAGCTGTCCTGCAAACTGATATATAGTGTGTGGGTGTCAAGGC